TATTTATACTGCAAAATTTTAAATTTTTAGCAATTTGGATTTTAATAGTAGGATTTTGTTGATTCAGACTATCAAATATTAAAAATCTTTTTGTTAGATGACTGTAATTTTGTAAAGAGGATAAGTTGTTACAAAAATATTAATAATGAAATATTTAGCACAATTAATAGAAGAATAGTTGCCGAAAAAATGGAATAGTAGTTGGTAACAGAACAATATTTTAGTGGTTGAATAGAATTTGGCGGCAAAATAATCATTGGTAAAATAATAGTTTGTGGGAAAAATTAGTAGAGGAATTGTAGATAGTAAAAACGTAGCGGTTATAGAAAATTAACTGTTAGATGTTTTGGTTTAGAATATCTTATTTATAGAATAGTTAATAAGTTTCATTATATTATTTTCTATTTCTTAAAAAAGGTTTCTATATAGCCTAATATCTTCTCTTCTAGAAATCTAATATTTATTATGTCAGGTTTTCTCATATTAATTTTCTTCAAATCTACAGAATTTACTTGATCTTGAAGACTAAAACATATATTTTCTTTTAATATATAAATTATTATACATTGTAAGAGAGTAAATCAATCCAGAATCTCAGTATGGGTCTTACTAATTTTAACTAATGCTAGACTAATCTAAATCGCACACTAAATAGCTAAACAATATCACACCCTAATAATGGTAGGCACAAAAGAGGTGTGGAAAGACTTGGTCCGAGTTATTATGGCCAAATAAAGCTCTAGATTACATCATGAGGCTCTACTTCGGCTACTAACTCTATGTGAATTTGACTTATCAGAGGATAATTAAGCAAAACGTTTAAGTTGGAGTTGTGCCAACACTGAGTTACAGATGTTCATATATTTAAATTTACATATAATGCAATTCTAGAAATTCAATCTATTCTCCCTATCTAAATTATTTCTTGAATATAAACTATTCCAGCTATCTAAATTATTCTTTGAATGATTTTTATTTCTGTCATTCTTCTGATATCAAGAATTTACCGAGAATCACATAAATTTGTATTACTTATATTCACAATACTTACATTCACAAAATAAGAAGTAAAATATAATAGAATTTGAGGTTGATTTTACCCTTCACGACGTATTTTCTAGCTATGCATATACAGTAGGACCTCTCTAAGTGCACACTCTTGGGACTACACTTTAATAATGCACAAATAGAGAATAATAAGAAAAGTGCATTTATGGAGGTTGAGTATATATTTTGAGCATGCATTTAGAGTAGTTGTCAGTAGAATTAATTTGGCAAATTTATATATTAGAAACTACTTGATAATATGTGGTGCAGTATCACTAATTATATTCCTGGTATTTAGTGCCTAATATTCATCGATTCCTGGTTTGCCATGATTGCGTTACATAGCTATGTTATTATAATTATTATAATGCTATAGTATTAAGGTATCGCATTATTACAATGCAAAGGTTTATCTGCTATAATACTATGATATTATGACATTACAGCATTGCAGCATTAAGGCATTGTGGTATTGCGGCATTATGGCATTGCAGTATTACGGCACATATTATTTACAGCAATTGGGCTCTGTGCCGTAATTAATTCTACCATATAGTAGAATGCCGTAATTCAGTAATTCTACTGCCAACACTAATTTAGAGAGTGTATGCACTTATAGAGAGTGTGTCTGACTGTATTAAAAGTTGTATAAATAGTATACTCAAAGTTAAAGTGTTGTCTTTTGCTTAATATCAATATATTTTAATACATATATAAAACTTTAAAGAAAATAAAATATTCTAAAAAAAAAATAAAATTTAAAAAAAATATAATATTATAAAAGAATTCTAGTTTATAATTAATCAAAAAAGTTATCTTCAAATTCATTCATTACTTCTTCAATATTGAAATCTCTATTACCAGAAAATCCATTATCATTTAAACCAACATTATTACTTTGTTGAGTTTGTGAATCAAATAATTCGTATTGTAAGTTCATAACATTGTTAATTTCTAATTGATTTTCTGGTAATATATCAATAAGTATATCATCCATTTCATTTAAATTATCAATTTCATCTAATAAAAATTCATTACATTCACTAAATTGGTTCATATTACTTACCATATATTTAATTTCTTTCTCAGTTATTTTATTTAAAAAATATTTTAATTCTTTTTTTGAATTTGATACATACCATGAATAGACTTTAGCCATTGATTCCAAATGTGTAATACTTAATTTACCTCAGCGATTTTCACTAAACCATTTTAAAATGAAGTGAAATCGCTCACAACTTGCATTATGAGGTTTTAGATTTAATATTTTGATTGCTAATTTTTCAAGATAGTTTGGTCGAATATCAAGAGTAAGCCACCATATCAAGACATCATCTTGATTATTCCAAGATATATTAAAAGGTGATTCATATTCTTTGTATTTCTTTATTTGAATAATTAGTTCTTTGCCAGATGTATTACAGTGATTCATTTCTTTCCAATGTTTTAGTGCAAACATACATAATTCTCAAAACATTCCTGGTTTAAATGCATTGGCTAAATAATTAATATAAATAAATTTATAAATACATGGCAGTAATACAAAATTGATAAATTAGTTTTTATTAAAAACTTACCATGATATTTTGAGTGAAGAAAAAAAGCTAGCATATATAATGTATTGTCAAACATCTTTCATCTCTTATTAAAAATAGCGAAGCATTGCTGTTTAAATTCAAGATTAAGATTATTTAATAGTTGTTTAAAAGTAGAGGCCATTATTATAAGTTAAATATAGCAATCAATTAAATTTGTTGATTTATATTCAAGTAAAAGTATAGACTTTTTAATGGGTGCTAAAATTTTTGTTAATTCTTCTACTTCTAGAAAGAAATTATGATTGAGAAGGATCTCTTTAATATCTTGCTTAATTTTGTCTGAATAACACTCTAAAAGCTTTAAATAAAATTTAATATAAGTATTGTAATAATAAATATAATAGTTATAATTTAATAAATCTTACTGTTATAAATGCTGCTTTTAAATTAACAATAGAAAAAGTACAATCATAATATGTTGTCCATCTTGTTTTACATGCTAATTTTAAACCACCACC